GAGAGGGTCCAGAGGAGGGCCACTCGCATGATCAGGGGGCAGCAGGCAGGCCCTATGAGGACAGGCTACGGGACCTGAACCTGTTCAGCCTCCACAAGAGAAGGCTGAGGGGGATCTTGTGGCCTGTTACAAACTAGTCGGAAGGGACCAGCAGGCACTGGGGGAGTCCCTGTTCCCCCCAGCACTGCCAGGAGTGACTAGAAATAACGGTCACAAGCTGGCAGAGGGTAGATTTAGGCTAGATATCAGGAGGCGCCACTTCACGGTCAGGGCGGCTAGGATCTAGAACCAACTTCCAAGTGAAATGGTGCTGGCTCCTACCCTGGCAAGGCTTGACAATCACCTTGCTGGGGTCGTTTGACCCCAGTACTCTTTCCTGCCATGGCAGGGGGTCAGACGATCTGCTCAGGTCCCTTCAACCCTACTATGAAGCTATGATTTATAACATTTGCCCCTTCACCTTTGCCTTGTAGAACAGGGTCTGCTGGTGGCACCGCATGAAGTGACAGTCACGTCCCCACCCTGCTACTTTGGGCTCCTCCTAGATCAGGGGTGGGCAAAATGCAGCCCACGGGCCAGATGCGACCAGCCAGGCCACTCTATCCGGCCCATGGGGCCCCTAAAAAATTCAGAAAATTAATTTGTCTGCCCCTAGCTGCCTGTCATGTGGCCCTTAATGGCTTGCCAAAACTCAGCAAGTGGCCCTCCACCCAAAATAATAGCCCACCCCTGTCCTAGATCCACTGAGCCAAGGCCCTGCTCTGTTCAGTTGGTACAGACCAACATATATGTGCCCCGAGGGTCCCCTGAACCTGCCTGGAGCTGGGTGCAGAGCCAATTATGATCAACTCCATGGCCTTTAGCTGTTGCAGCAAGCCAACAAATTGTGCCAATGAGGCAATAAACTCCATTAACGTTTAACTGGCTTTCCAAACACTTGCAGCAGTTGGGCTGCATTCACCTGGAACTGACACCCCAGGGAAAAAAGCAGTTTGTGACCTCTGCCTTCAGCGTTAGCAGACGTGATCTCACCATGCACATGCGCACAGAGGACCCTTTGCTTTCTTCTTGATCAAACCCATCCCGTGGTTAGTGGTGGAACAAGTTGGACTCCGTGCTCCGTTCTTAAAACAACCCCCCCCAAAAGAGAGAAACAAGGAAAAAACAGAGACAGATGTGCAACACCTACCACTTGACAAACAAGCTATTAGCTAATCAATACCCTCTCAACTGGGTCTACCCTCATCTGCCAGGAAAATCTGTCCCCTCAGCAGGGAGTAAGGGGATGTCAGATGCCCCTTATTTTACTACTCAGATCAGGGATCACATAGGAGAAGGGAGATCATAAACTACAAGGTTGTATTCTCCAGTGCACAAGTGAGAGGACACAGAAATAACGTGGCTCTGGGAAAATCTTCCCATTAAGGTTTTTCTACGAGAGCACACATTTTCCTGAGAAATTTTTCAGGTAATCAGAAATGCTCGTCATTGAAAGACAAGAACGCTACCTCATTCTTATGGAGCTCTTTTAAAAAAATAAGTGAGGTGTCCCAAGGCTGCATAGGTGCTGTGGCTGAAGAAGCTCACTGGGCTAGTGATAGCTAAATTAGTCTGGTGTGGAGGTTTGAGATGACTTAAATGGCAAGCAGGGACTCAGTTACTTGCAAGAGGAGAAGAAGTGACAGTCCCCTACACATACAGAATTAATGCCTTCCCCTGGTTTCTGTCAACAAATACAAAATTATTTGTTTTCATATACCCCAAGTTAAATTCCCACCCCCTCCACAATAAGCTCTCCCCATTAAGCCAGGATGCAGGGACTGGAAAACACAGAAGAAAGGAGCCAGCAGTTATGAAATGTTCACAGATCTTGTAAAACCAAAAGGAAAAATACAGATACACACAGGAAGAAAGCTTATTTTAAAATGCAGAACAATGGGGCAGGATGGAAAGCAATGTCAGAGAAGGAGAAATAACCCCGACACCTCGAAAGGAAGATGTGCTCCAAGCACCGAGACCAAACCAAAATAAAACACTCTGTTCACTGTCATGCTTGCCCACTCTGCCCTGCAAGATTTCTGACAGGTTTATAATTCACTTTCTCCATCCCGATTACATAACCTCATAAACATCCAAGATCTCACTTGAAACTGTGAAAGCTCTGGATCTAAAGCCCAGAAAAATCCAGCAGCTCATAAAACTGAGCTTATCACATCAGCAGCTTTTCTTTCAGTTATCTTATTTCTCAGGGAGTCACTTGTTACAGTGGTTGAGAAAAGCTGGTCGCAATGGTCACTTAGTATACACAGTCGCCAGAGCTTCAAAAACCAGCCCCCCCCTAAAATACTCTGGCCAGAAGAACTGAAGTTTCCAAGTCTGGCACCCACACTCAGCACTTGACTGGCAGGCAGGAAACTGTGGTTTGACCCTTCTCCCTCCCTGGACTACAGGAGACGAGATCTCTATAGTGTTCACACACTGGAAACCCTATGAAACAGGAAGCAACCTACCCACTACAGAACAGATGAGCCTTTTCACCAGAAAAGTCAGTTATGATCATGCTAGAAAGGTTTCAAACGTGCTTTTATATGTCATAGACAAGGAGTTAAGAAATGAAAGTAATTTGGGGAGTTTAACAAGAAAGCAGATGAGCTCTCGGATTCACAGGCCATGGGAGAGGGAGAAAAGGGGATGAGAGTTTACCATACAGAAAAAGACTGGTGGTAGGACGAGAAAACTGGAAGCTGAAGGTGAAGTTAAATTCACACTGCAAATAAAGCAGACAGCGAGTGTGATGAACCACTGGGACCAGCTGTCATTAGATATGGTGGACGTAAAGATTTCAAATGACAGAGCATCAAGACAGGGCAGCATCCTTAACAATATGCTCTGATTCAGCCAGATGTTAAGAACATAAAAGCCAGGAGGGGAATTCTACGGCCTGGGTTATATACAGGGGGTCGGACTAGAGGCTCACAATGGTCTCTAGCCTTAAATGTCCATGAATCTACACAAATGTCTTCTCTAATGAGCCTTGATGTATCAGATCACTATTAGCCAAAGCCAAGCTCACTCAACTACAGCATGCCATTTCACACCACTGTCAAGCATCATCCATATTTCCCTTACAACTACGCAAATCTTCCTTACTGTCCTTACACCCTGCCCCTTCCTGATAGAAAATTAATCATACGCCAGCAGAGCCACAAAGGGAGCTGTTTTGAAAGAGAAGGGGCTGCAGACTGCATTGCTTTCAAGGGTCCAACACAACCTTCTGAAACAATGACCTTTCGCAAGAACACAACGCGCTGTACATCTCATCCGCGAGTCTGGAGAAGCAGCAGCCTCTACCACCGTAAAGGATGGAGCAGCCTGCTGTCATAGGAATTAATGAGCTTATCTCTAGTGCGACGGGCAGACGGATGGGGCAAAAGATTGCCTGGGAGTTGGGCTCCTTGCACTCAGTTTCATACACGACAGAAACCTTAGAATCAGTGAAGCAGAGAAAAAACCAGCAGGAGGCTCACCAAGCGTTAACAGGAACAACTCACCTGGAAGGGGGCCTTTCCCGTCAGACACTGGTAAATGATGGTACCTATACTCCAGAGGTCAGCTTTGGCGTCATAGTGTTGAGACATAATGACTTCAGGTGCCTGCATTGGGAGAGAAGAGCTTTGTTTATAAGGACCTGGCCTTCCTCTTGGCAGCCACAAGAGAAACAGAAGCCCCTGATATGCCTCCACTTTTAAAAAAAGCGCTGGCCAAGATTTGACAAAAGGAGAGATTAAAAGATTTACCAGGCTGTGATAATATTAGCAGGGAGGTGATTTCATAACTCTAATCTGGGGAACGGAGGCAGAGTTTTATTTCAGGTGGCCAAAAATTCCATCCCCTTTTGTCTGATGTACGGCAGGCAAAAAACAGTGCATTCCCTTCTCAGATATTAGATTTCCTGTTGAACCAACTTGCACACAAAGGAGTCCCTTAAGAACAGCTCAGACAGCCCTTTTAAAACCAAGGCAAACACACAGATACTCAAGCCCATATAGCAACTTTACCCCTTGCAACCAAGGCAAACAAAGGATCACGTTGGTCTAGGTAACTTGGGTCATAATCACCTCCGGCGTTTCTTAGCAGTCTAACCCAGCAGGCAGCTCATTAGGTATGCCCGACAGCACAGTGCCAAGAAGCATGGCTTGGGTTCAAATGCAGGTCTGTGTTTTTAAGTAAAAGAGGTCACACCCCAATTGTGCTTCAGTCAGAGTTTGAGCTTTCCTCACCAGGTTTACAGCAGCTCACCACAGGCTTGTTCCAGAAGCTACAGAGAGCATGAATGCATAATGATCAAAAAAGCTGCCAATGTAATGTACTCCCGGGACTAGCAGCAGAAGCAAGTGGCAGGATGGCTAAACCCTACGTTTACCAAACTGGATTTCATCCAAACCCTGCAGGAGCAGGAGATCAGTATTCAAGCCCAGCCATGGACAGAGGCAAAGACTTGTTCCAGTTGGAATGGAAAAGAGGGGCTACAAACCAAGGGGGCAGCAGTTGGGCAATGCAGACTTCATCCTAGAGGTCACAACACACAGCACTAGACACCAGCAATATGCCTCTCTTTGCATCAGGACTCAAACCCTCTCCTCCTCTCCCTCCACAAGTCCACCTTTAAACTAAGAACAGGGCACATTTTCAGCCCAAGACCTATTTCCAGAGTTCCTTAAAAAAACTGAAAGGGAGAGAGAAAAAAAAATCCAACAGTTCCTTTCCCCACCCTTTTTAAATGGGAGCTTAATGTTTGATCTACTTCCAAGAAAGAATGAAAGAAAAAAAAAAAAAAAAGGGTAAAAATAGACAATTCAGGACATTCTCTCTCAGCAGGAAAAGGAAGAAAAAGTAGTTACTTCATCCTCATACAGTATATGGCCAAATTAACATCTCTCTCTGTTTGTTTATTTTTCAGTATGAAGGCAGCTTTGGTTTGGTTTGCATTGAGAGACGGTGAATATTAAACATTGCTGAGCTAAACTACCATGATGCAACAGAGCCTAGCTCAGTGCTAGCCCAAAGGCTCAGGCTGAAGGGTTGCAAATAAAGCTTAATGGCATTAGGCACCTCTCTCTCACTGAAATTCAAGTAGGTGAAAATCTCAGCCTAAGCGACCATACCTAGAAGAGCATCAAGTACTGGCTTAGGACAAAGTTAAGCAGCCGTGCCTTGGAGATGGGTCACAGGGCTGGTAAACCTGGTTTTGCCATTTATTTCTGGTGCCCTGTTGTGACTTTTTTTGGGGGGCGGGGGGAAGAGATGTATCAGGTGATTGCACACAAACACACGGGAAAGGGATTTCTACCTCACATTTCAGCCCGCTGGAGGGTTAGTTTAGTTTGCTTGCTTATTTCATTTCTAAAGTCTTTCCGTTTTGCCATCTAAGCAAATACCTTTCAGGCAGCTGGCTCTGTTTGCAACCAAGGGAAAGGGTAGAAGTGGACAGCAGAAGGAACAGGGTGAACGGTTGAAAAGCCGCTGTTTTAGGATTCAGTGCTGTGGCAAAACGCACTTTGCAGCATTTGAACTTGCTCCTAAGAGTCACTCCCAGCCCTGGGCTGGGAACTCCTTTCTCCCTCCACAAGAAGGATTGCAAGGGAAGATACCCAGGTGTTCTTAACATTGAGTCTCTCCCATTTTCAGGGTACCTGACAACGAGGGAATGATACAGAAAGCCGAGACAGTTGCTGGCATCGTGCTAGCGTCTCAGGAAACCCTTCTCATTCCCGACCAGCCGTGACTCTCGTTGTTAATCCACATCTTCCTCAATAGCATGCCCTAAGCACACACTAGGTTGTGAGCAAGTGCTGCTTTCTACCTTAACTACTGAAGTACATCTGAACGCAGTAGAGATTTCTGCCCAAGATGTGTGGGCAACTGGTTGATTAGCCTCGCTTTATCTCCCACGAAGAAGACCTATTCTTACAGGCAGAGAGGAACATCACACACACCACAAAGAGAATGGATCCAGCTGGTCCTGATCTAGCTATAGGGCACGTGTGCCATGCCATGGCTACATTAAAAAAGCAATACAACTGGAAACAGTACAGAAAATGCTTTAAGAGGCCCGATAACAGGGGAGGTCTGTCTTTTGAAGGCAGTGCGAATGCCAGGACTAGATAACCCTTGCTCCATGGCATGGGCCCTTTAAAAGGTACCAGGAAACCAGGGTACGAGAGCTCCCAGACTGGAAGTGGTGTTAGAAGATTAGTTAACACTTGTGGAAAACCTTGCACTACTTTTTACCTCAAGGACTAGCACCAGGAACCTTTGTGTGTAAGCAGACAAGGCAGAACCCATCTCTCCCAAATACAGCAGAAGCTCTGGGAAGAATGGCAACATATACTCCTCCTCCTCCATCATGGCAGAGGTGATGCTAGCAGGAGGAGAATGGAAGTGAATAAAAAAGGAGATAGCTGGGAAAAAGAGGGCGAGGAGGCCTGTCTAAATTAGGCTCAAGAGGGAACTGAGGAGAGCGGACCTACAGTGCCACAATGCCTCATCTCAGGGACAGTTCCCTGCCATGAGCACTTTATAAAAGGCAAAGTCTTGAGGGATGTACCATCATCACTCCTGTGCTTAGTCTTACACTACTACAAGTCAGCCTGCAGCTGAAGGATCCACATCCTTCACTGGAAGAGGAAAGCTTCTGCGAGTGGGTAGAAAGCAATATTCTCTTTTGTTTCAAGCAATATTCTCTTTTGTTTCCTACAACGTACCAACAACTTGTCTGAAAGGCAGATTCGAGCAGAGCGTCTTACATATCCGCCATCTGGTTGCTCAAAGAATCATTACCGAGCCATCTCTTCCCCCTCCACGGTTCTATGTACAATAGCAGCTTTTTGAGAATTATGAACTAGAATCTAGATCCTGGAGGGATGTCTGGAAGAAAAGTAGGTATTTCACAGGGAAAAGAAGCAGGCTGTGTGTTTGTGCAAAACTTTGAACATGCAAGCTTCAGTGTAAAACAGCAGGTTGTAAACATCTAAGCAAGTATAATAAGTCCCACACATCGGAGGAGAAAAAAAAAAAAGCTTACTTTTTGCCAGTTTGTGACAAAGCAGTTCCCTACCCACACACACTTACCATGTACATAGGTGAGCCACACAAAGTTGCTGCCATCATGTTATTTTGCAGGTATCGGGCAAATCCAAAGTCAGCTGCATGTAACAAACAAAAAGAGGTGGTTCAGGTTCAGACAGCAGCCCCCGAGAACCCATAACGTTTCCTATAGCAAAAGTGATGTCTGTTGTCCCAAGTATTAAGTTTTAACCCATCTTCATCTTGAGAAGAAAGACAACTTTAGCTGGGAGGTAGAGTTACTTAAATACTTGCTGTAAAAACTTCCACTGAGAGACCAAACAGTGGTCTGGTAAAATTTAGACTGAGACGTTAAAAGAAATCAATCCCAGTTCATCCAGGGATACCTTCAGTCTCTATTTGTCTCATGTCCATTATTCAACCCTCAGTCCTTTATCAAGTGAAAAATAGGATGGTAGGGTCTAGATCCGCAGTGGGTGGAAGTTAGTGAAGCTCTACCAACTTCAAGGACATAACCCAATCTACGCTAGCTGTGAATAACACTGGAGCTGCCAATCCCAGGAAGATTCATCAGAGATCAAAAGCTTTTCTTTTGTTTTCTGCTGCCTCCTCATCTTCTAATTTGGCAAACTCGTAGCTACAATTCACTCCAGAGTTACACTCACAACACAGTGTTACAAACGTCAAAAGACATCTTCCACCCATCATATCCTCGTTTCTGGAATATGCTTGTTCCAAACTGTTTCGTTAGAACAGCTGCTACAGTATCATCTCTGATGCCAAAAAGAAAGCCGAGCCATAACTTCACCTGGTTGCTAGAAAAGCCAGGGGCTACGAATGCCGAAAGGATTACATCTGCAGGTTACTCAGTGTCTGATCATATGACACTTAGAGGTTCTCTCAAGGTTACCAGATATTTCAAGCAAGACAGTTACTTGACACTGCTGTTTATGCCATCATCTGTCATTATTAGATTATTATGGTTAGCTGTTCCTCCTCCTGGACCATCCACCATCCTTAGGGAAGGTGGAGGGGTGGTTAGACAGCATGTTAAGTATGTAGGGTGTAGCTAGAGCTCCTCTTTAGACAGCCCTCCTTTTTTTTTTTTTTGTCCCTGGTGAGCACTAGACACTTCCACTTTCCGTCCACCACCAAATACCACCAAGTTCTTCGACTACAGCTGAACAGCAGGAAAATATCAAACAGGCTTTCCTCCCTCCTGAACCTTGTTTCTCAGCCAAAAGCCACGAACATGTTCCCCACAAGACACATGAAGCAGAGAACTGCATTGTTTAACTGGTGTCAGAGCCAACTTGTGAACTGTACTCCAATGAGATAGATATCCATGAATAAAGGAAGTGATTATACAGCTCTTACTTCAAAAGGGACCTTGGGGAACACGTTGGGTTCACTGACAAGTCATAGGACACCAAAATGCTCTACTTGTCCCAGCTCACCTACCAGTGAGAGTCAGGTCAGTTTTAGAAGGCAGGACAAACTCGTATCACAGCCAGCCTGGCAAGGGCTAAAATTAAATACCAATTACAACCATGTTGTTTCTGACACCTCTCTCGATAGCAAATGGAGCAAAGCTCCCTGCTCCTTTTGTTGCTGCTTATCCAGTTCCAGCAATACAGCTTGGGATGGCAAACAGCTGATCTCAATCATCCCCCAGCAAAAATCATTCCTTAAAGCAAGACTCAAGGAAAGGCTCTTACCGATCTTTATGCGAATGTTGTTTGGATTTGACTTCCTGCCTCCAGCATAAGAAAGGAGAATATTCTGCGGCTTCAGGTCCCGGTGGATGATACCTTTGCTGTGTAGCATTTTCATGGCACCTGCTATCTGCTGGAGAAAGAGTCTGATGGTGTCTTCGCTCAGCGTCCGCATAGCTAGAAGGAATAAAATAAGCACAACTGTAATGCCAGCTGTCACTAAGGAAGCCAGAAGGCAGCTTCTCTACAGAGCCTAACAATAGTAACACATGGTCTTGCACTTCCACCAGCAGATGTGCCTTTTCTTCACCTACTTGATGAGCATCTCTTGAACTACCACCTGAGCTAGGGTGTGCGCTCCTCCACAGCAAAGATGCTGCAAAACGCTGCAGGCCCAGTTCTCAGATGAGAAATCAACATAGGATCATTGACTTCCAAAGCAATGCAAAGGGCTTAGGCGGTACAATGCCAATTTACACCGCAAGAGGATCTGGCTCCTTGACAGTAAGAAGGGCAAGAGGGAATAAATAGACCTTGTCAACAAAGATTAAAAAATGGAAAATAAATAAAACTCAGTAGACAGGTACAATGTCAACAGGATCCTCTGGGGAGTCAGCCTTGGCTTTCTGAGAACTTCTGAGGTTAAAACAAAAGTACAGATCAAATACGTTTGACAGGCCCCCACCTGCAACAAGGTTGGTACAAATTCACTCCGTCTATTTTAAGAATAATTCGGCGTGCATCTCTCCCTCCTCCCCCCACCCAGAAGCACATCTGTAAGGCATAAATTGCCGAGTTCAGAACAAGCCCCAGTATCAATAATGTTTCTGGCTTGGCCAGACACTGATGTTCACGGACAAGTAAGGTTCAAAGAAATCCATTTCACTTGAATAAAACCATATCCCTCGTCCATGCCCCTGTAATTACTACAGCCTTTGTTGTTCCAGCTGTTCTCTACAAAAAGGCCTTGAACTATGCTGGCAGGAGCATCAAAATACTGCTCTACCTTGTCAGCCAGAGGGGAGGAATCCTTATGAAAACACAGACGAGGTCATGGGCAGCTTTAGCATAACACAGGAAATTAAAGATTTAATTTTAAAAATATGTGTATGGGAAATAGTAAGAGATACATGTTGATTAGACAGTGCCGAGTGCAGAAAACAAGCTCCAGTCACTGCCAAATCCCAACCTATTAGAAGGGGCACCCAGGACTAGCAGAGGTAGGAGGTCAGTCAAACACCGGCAGATCCTTTGTCCACATCTACACATATGACAAGTGCATGCGCCTGTACAGTCCTTTTCCTCTGTACTCCCCACACTGGGCCTTTTTCTGCCAAGCTGGAACTCTACTACAAGTCTCTTGCTTTTGAAGGAGAGAGCCGGTGAAGGTCAATAGACTCATTTTAAGAAAAAGGATTTCAATTCAGGCACTCCCCCGAAGCGTCTTCCATAAAGAGCATGGTCTCATCTCCAACAAGGCCTCTCAGACCTATTAAAGGGCTGCTAGGATACATCAGGGTAACAATTCTCCACTTCAATGCAACAACATTCTCCTATAATCAGCTAAGGGTCAAGGCTTGGTCAAGCTCTCTTCTTAACTCATTCCTCCTGAAGGCGATATCAGGGGTTTTTAGGACTCCCATCCCCATAGTATTTGAGTATCTCTGAAACTACTGTATTCATCCTTGCAACAAGGAGTAGGAAGTGCAATTATCCTCATTTTACAAATGAAGAGGCCCACCAAGACCACATGATGTGACCATGGTCACAGACCATGTTCATGGTGGAACAGGACTCTTTCTTCCATACACTTTGTGGAACTGGAATACCTGGATAACACATCTCCAGCCAGGGCATCACATCATCTGAACATGCAAGACTGGCCCCAATTGTATTACAAAAGTTCGAAAGCAGATTTCTCACTTACTTTTTAAAAGAGGATTAGCCCCACTGAATACAGAGCAGGCACTCCAAAATCTCTCTCATATATATTTCCAGTGTAGAGTCCACCATCTCATTATGTCCCAAACAAAATGAAAAAAGAAGCAGGGCTCTAAGCGTGACAGTACTTACGCTGCCTAGCTAGCTGGCAACAGCAGATTCCTTTGGCTAAATACACAGTGCCTCTAGCAGTTAAACCATTTCATTCAGGTCTTGCTCTGTCCTGCCATACATAATGTCTTCAAGGCATCACCCTCTCTCCACTACTTCCATACAATTAAGTGTCAAACACATTCACCACTACTTTCCCTAACAAATTAAGGATTTGCAACCTGGAGCTGCTCTTCTATTCCTTTATGCTCAGGAGAGATGGGTGCAGGGACTGAGGAACCACAGCCATAAGACAGCAATTTCAGGGGAATTTGAGGTTTCCTATCTGCACCAAGTCCTTATGCTTGAGAAGATAACATCTTCCAAACGTGAACAGAACGCAAATCAAATGCAAAGTCTGCTGTAGCTTAGCAAAGATATGAAGCCGCAGCAGGGTAGAATGAATACAAGATGGAGATATGCTGGACAGATGCTGCTATTCTTGCAGCCCTTATAAAAACTCAAGAATCAAGCGAGGTTCATGCTACAGTTGATGTTACTTGGGAAAGCTAGGAGTAGCAGGAAGAGGAGTTATGTCCCTCTCCTCACTCCACAGACAGATACCCAATACAGGAGAAGCTCCGCTTTGTCTCCTCACTCACCCCATTGTACTAACAGCAGCCTGAAAAAGCAGGCTCTCAAAGCCAGGAGTCTCCAAAAGATGAGTAGAGGCATAGAGAACCTTTTTGCCCTTTCTCCATCCACCCCTCACGTGTCCCCTTCTAGAAAGATGGTCCAAACCCCTATTAAACCACATGCAGTGACAACAGCCAGTCCAAGTCCCAGACTGTACATCAAAGCTCCTAGGTATAGTCCACATGTCAGCAGTAGCTGAACAAGCTTTTCTTGCCTTGGCCTACTAAGTCAGGAAAAGCAGGACTGTCGGTATCTCAGAAGAGTTTGTAAAGACAGCAATATCCTGAGGCTGGCCAGTGAAAGGTATATGGGTGAGCAGACTATAAAGGGCCGGAGGGATAGGATACGATACAGCAGAGCAGAACCATTCAGTTCACGCGCCGCTCAGGCATAGTGTGTAGAATAAGCCAATGTACCGCTTCTATGCTGTTCTAGCCTCATCTGATGCATGAGCCTCATGCCAGCATTCTTATAAAATAAAAAAGGGAGGTAGCTCATCTTCACCATGGCAGACCCAGCAAGATGGAAAAAAAAAAAACAAAACAAAAAACTTACAGTGGCTCTGGGTCATCCTGTCACCTGAGCATCTGAAGCCAGTGACACATGCTTCCAGAGAACACGATTTCACAAGCCTTACTCCATCATTACTAAGAAGTAATTATATCCTTGTGTTTATTTTCCTGGGTTCTACTTCAATGACGAGGCACTCTGCTTACAGCCTCAGGGCCTGCTAGACAGGCCAGTATGCCAGAGCAAATATTTACGACAGGACAGTTTGCGGTCTTCAAGGCCAGGGGGAAAGGGGGAGGAAAAAAAGCAGCCCGATCAGCATTATGGGGACATGGGATGAATGTTTTACTTGTCAAGAGGCTGCACATATAGGGCTGGGATCAGCTGATCTGATCTGAGGGCCAGTATATCTGAGTACAGACCAACTGATCTGTGACTTGGCAACATTTTGGAAAGGACAACTAGGATAGAGGAAAAAAAAAAATAACATCTCATCTTACCCATGAGTGTCAACTGAGTCTACCCTCCATAGGCACCTGACCCAAATCCCACTAACATAAGTTAGACGCAGTGGACTGCAGATCAGACCCTATAACACCATTAAATTCCAGCTGAGAACCCCTTCAAAGTCCAGTATAAAAATCTTTTTATACACAAAGGCCATGTACACCCCAAACTTGTACTGCAGATGCAATGAATCCTGTTAAGGGCATTTTTGGATAGAGGGCACAAGGGAGAGAAAAAAAAGTGCACAAACAGCTCACGTCCATTTGCAAAAGGGGTGCCCAAGAGCACAGAAAACACTTCCTTGCTTTTCTGACTTCTGAGAATTCACTTGGCTGCTGGGAGTTATTACAATTTCATTTCTACCCGCAGGGCTGGAAATGCCATGGTCAATCAATCCAAAAACATGTTATCCGATGAGAAACTCTTTTCACAATGGCAGCCACTCTGAGAAGCAACTTTTTAAAGCCAAACAACGCAGTTTAAAAACTGCGCCCAAAGGCCTATGGCAGTACTTAAAACTGGAAGGGACCATTTTTGAGTAGCTACTCTGGCTCCCTGAACAACAGAGGACACAGGACTTCATCTTGTTATTCCTGTTTAGAGTAGGCCAATAACTTGTGTGACACTTTCCCATCGCTCCATGAACCCAGCAGACAAGGCAAAGGTCTGCCCTACTCTCAGTTCAAATGTGTGGCTTGAGATGAACTGCAAGCAAAGATGAAGGCAATGCAGAATTAACAAAAGGAAAGATCGGTTCAGCAAATCATACCCATTACATGGAACCATAGCCACCAAGGGAAGCCACATGCAAGAGATACTGCTGAATATGTACAGGAAAAAAAGAACACGTTATAATGAAAAACATGGGGCTCCCACTTCATGATGGGATGGACATAAAGAATTTCTTTTGATTCAATGTAGAATTAGAAGATCATCTAACGCTTGTAATTACAAGGCAGATGGGATCAGGAGGCTTAAGAGTATTCTGCCTTTGAAAAGCATGAGATTTGCATGTCTAACTCATACTGGCATGAAGCAGAAATCGCCTGAAGTGCCCATGAATTGATGAGAGAGTCAATGCTACACTCAAAGACTGCAATGCAGCCATCAGAATAAGTGAAACAGCCAAGTATCACCTTGCTGTCCAAGGGAATTCAAGCTACAGATCAGAGGCTGGCTTTGAATCTTGCACTGGAAGAAATATAGAGACTTAATAAAATGAGCTTTTAAAGACAAATTGTCATCAAAAGGACACTAAAAAGCTTGCACACAAGGAAAGGTGGCTGCATCCAGGCAAGACCAGGACACCTGGCTGACCAAAAACAACAACCAGACAGGAAGGTCCAGCTAGGATCCACATAAGAAGTATTCACAGCATCACTGAGCCAGAGATGACCGTTCTACATCTCCTTTCCGGGCTGGCTAAGTCAATTTGCAAGGCTGTTGAAGGTCACACATCCAATTAAGCCAAGGTGCTTGGGAAATGCTGGCTTTAGCATACTTAAGCACTTGTAAAAATCCCTACCCACTGCCAATGTTTCCAGCATGCCTCTTTGATGGGGCCAACAAAATGGGCAGAAGGTTGCAACTGTGTGCAAAACATCTTCCAGCTCTGCAGGCAAGCAAATCTGCACCTTGACAGACATTTTCATGGATTTGGAGTCCCTTTTTGAAAAAAAAAAAAGAAAATTATACTGCCTTTTCTCAACTGCCCTCCCACTACCCACATTCAAATAGTTACCCGTGGTCTGACCTCTTAAACTGTTGTAGTGCCCTCAGTGAAACTTAATGATGGCTATTTTTATAGTGCTCCATTACTAAAACTTCAATTTGTAATCATTACACAAAAACTTTGAGCACAAAACATTAATTATAAATTCATGTTCCATTAAGAGCCCAACATTACCTAATGGATGCAAAAGTGCTATCAAAGAACTAGTATAAAGCCTGCAGAAGAGTCAAGATGCAAATCTAGGTCAGCTCTGACACACACATCTCTACAAAGCATACAGAAAAAGCAAAGTGATCTTTCCAATTTCTCCCAAACCCTTCCCACAGTCTAAGAGGTGAAGTGAAATACCATTTCTTATCTCATGCGAATGGAGGGGAGTGAATTAGCCTCAATCCTGAACTAATTATTCCTGGGGTAGTAACATTGGCTCCAGGGCAAATGCGAATTTTGCTTTAAATCATGCAATTTCCAGTCGCCGTCTCACTAAAACAAGACCCAACCACTGGAATATTTTTAAATCTTCTCTCACAATACTAACAACAAATGCAAAAGACTCCCTGGATTAGCTGAGTTTATTAAATCATGGTCCACAAGCCACACAGGAAATGGAGATGAATAAATAAGAAGAGACAACTTGTACTCTTTTACTTAGCATGAAAAAGAAAAACCTAGCTCCTTTACCAGGAAAAAAAAAAGCTACCAACCAACGGGAACTAAGTTTTAAATCTTAGAGGGGTTCTGGAGGAGTCCAGCAAAGCTGCCAGCCCAGAGTCCAGACGATACTTTCTCTCCTTCTCACCCCGAGCAGTCACGCGTCTGCCTCCTCTGCTCTCACTGTTCTAAGGAATCACGTGTCTGCCTCCAAAGGAGGCTCAAGTTCATCCAGGCCTGGATGCTGCAGTCTGTGGGCTTTGGATCGACAGGGCAGCAGGCAGGACTAGTTCCTTTGCCCCGGTATCCCAAGTTATGCCGAGATGCCCGATCAGCCATTTGCCTGTCAAAGTCAGCCCACGAAAGAAGAGGACACTCACAAGCCTCTTCTCCAAAAGCTAATTAACAAACCGGCCACAAACATCTGACTGTCAAATTGCATTTTACAGCGGTTTTTGAACTGCTGCAGCTATCACCATCCCTCAGCAGTGAAGACTCTCTCATACAATGCTCTTAACTTCACACTCAGTGCTAAAGGAGAGGAAGTGGTTCAGTACTGCACTGAAGAAGCAACTGTGTTTTACCTAATCTTGTTTTAGGGGGCGGGGGAAAAAAGGGCCAAACATCCTTTCATGTAAAACACAAGACATCAATATGGATAAACCCACATTCAGATAAATTCAGCCTAAATCTGCACGATCAGGGTAATTAAAGCAGATATCAACTGCTGACAGCAGGCCAATCCCCTCTGTCATTATTAACCTAAACTCCAGGGACCAGGTTAGCTTTTACAGCTGCAGGTTCTCTTAAGTATTTGCAAAGAGTTATCAATGGAGAAACCTCCAGCTAAGTGGCAAGGGGAGCAACGCTGCTGGGTTTTTTGGTTGAGGGGCGAGGCATAGATCTACTGCCTTAGATCTTCCACTACCAACCTGATTGGGTAAAAATGTATTATATGTTTCCCTCCGGGTTCACATGATGCCCTTGCCATTGGTCTACTTACTGTGCAGGTAGTCAGCCAGGTCCCCACCATTGCAGTACTGTCAACAGAAGAAAACACAGTGAATAGTGGACTAAGCAAAGTGTTATCAAACTGAGCAGGCACAAGTAAATAAGATGGAACCCCATAGGGAGGCTTACAGTTTAATATGCACCTTTGCCATTCTAGACATTCGAATAAAATGGAACAAAAATTATAGGTTACTGAAAAAAAAAAAAAATTCAGAGCTTGAAATAACAGCATTGTATGGAACCAGGAAAAGCAGCTGGGAGTGACTATGGATAAATATTTAAAGCTCCCTGTATAATGTTTCCTATTGCTAGGGAAGAGGCAAATGTGATCTCAGTTTGAAGGGAGCGCAGAATATATACAAGGTTTGGCAGCCACGCAACTATGATGTGTACAAAAGCTGTTCTTTCCACATGACACTTTATAACCGAACAGTAGCTGGTATCATACACTGCCCTTCAAGCTTCCCGGTCAACCCTGAGAGCTAAAAAGAGACCCGCTCACAGTAGATAGAGATATGGAAGAAAGTTGAACATGTGAGCTTCTTTGAGCCATCTTCACCCCCACCTTTACAGTCTCCACAAAAGCAGAAAGGCCCCCCCCAGTAAAGAGTTCATCTGATTTACTACAATGACTCACCTCCATAACCAAATAGACAGAGTTTGCCAGTTCCTAGGAAAGGAGAGGAAAAAAAAAAAAAGAGAAATCAAGAACATTTAAGCATGGGAAGACAATAAAGAAAAAACCCCCATTGTGCAACTGAAAAGAAAAGAGGTCATTTTTTTCCTGCATTGGGGAAAAACCACATCCTTGCAACAATGCTCTCAAAATAAGCAGGAGGAAACTATCATTTCTTGCAGTGATGTCAAAAGGATTAATTTGTGAAGGGCTTTGAAGAAGTGCTATGGACTTGTGAAGAATTTCATACAAAGTTGAGCCTGTTTGCCATTCCAGAGCGCTCCCGTTCAACAAAGCAATCAACTCTTTCCTTGCAGCTTGCGTCTTTGTATTCCTTTAGGGCTCTGGTAGATGACTAGCAGTATGCAAGGCAGACACTGGCTTGCTAGTTTGAACTTCTAACCATTTCCACATTAGCATGGCCCCTAAAGGCTTGAGAATAGGCCCATAAAAGCAGCACCTGCGTGAAAGGAGGGGAAGGAACAAAACGGCACATACATGGATCAAGCATGGGGGGGGAAGGACAGGCAACATTGGGGGCGGCATGCCAAACCACCCCTGCTCAGTGGTGTTTGAGGTGGGGGGGGATTTGGGATAGCTCATTATGGAGACTCAATACTGCCCTCAAAGCCCGAGTTATTTGGACGTGTCAGTTATATACGTTAGTCTTGTGGTATTCTCACTGGAGACATTTCCAATCCTACTAGGTGGAATTAAAAGGGTGAAAAAAAAAAAAAAAAAAAAGTCAAGGAGTCCCATGAGCAGCTAATGAAAATCGGTCCCATAGCAGGTAGCCACAATCCAGACAGGACGCTGGGCCATGCTTCATTCCAACAATACCGCAGCTCAGGAAGCAAGGGCATATAGGAAGTCAACACATCCCAGGAGACTGAGGGCGTTCAGCCTCTATTTTGAGGTCTCGTATACAAATAAAGCACCTATGCATCTGATCTCACATCTTGCTGTGTTTATATAGCCAGCGAGTTCAATTCTGTGCCTTGGTTTCCCAGGGTTTCTTATGACCCCACCCCCCATTTCTAAACAACTATGCGTATAAAATATTTTAAGCACCCAGCAAATTCAAGAGCACGCTGTCGACATGTGGCACTTCTCAACAGCCAGCTCTTGTACCCAAGCCCACACCAAGAGCCGTTCTCTGCACGTCTGCCCCGTGCTCTGCTCTGTCTGACGGTCCCCAGCTGCGACCATCGTGCACTGAGCCTCGCATAGCGCCTTTACGCACAGCATCTCATGGAGCAGTGCCAGGAACGGGGAGGGCTGTGCAGCGGAGCGTGAAAGGAGAGGCTATACGCACAACAGTTCTGCAATACCGGCTTCTCATGGCAGACAGCATGGAAACTTTACCATCTCAATGGTACCATCTTCTGGCCTCCTTGCCAAAGCACTGGGCAGACCAGAGCTGTGGGGGGAAGCATGGGACAGAGCAGAACCCCAATATTAATACTTATATAGAACAAGTATTTGAAGCATAGGTTGCTCTGATCTAAGATTTGCACTCGTTTGTGTAGCATAAAGGTTCAGATGTCACAGAATGGGTTATCCTTCCTCTCCTGGAGGCCACATATCCCACTAAAGGCAACACCTTTGTAATAACAATTCTGCGTTGGCCCAGTCAGTCCTTCCCGTCATCTCACCCTCAAGGATACTGAAGGCCCTGCTTAAGGTCTTTACCACAGCTCCACCAGGTGAAACCAGGGAAGCCGGTACAACTGACTGGTGGCCTCTCTACAGCGCTTATGGTCTACGATTACGATGCAACGAGGGTCGGCTGGGACTAAGGCAAGGTAACTAGGAGAGGGTTTGCAAAAAAATGAGTAGGCAATAGTTTTCAGTTTCCAAAAGCAGCTCTATTCCAAGATCTGGGCACCTGGCCAAAAGGTCCCAAATCCACACCCCCAAAATGATAGCTCTAAAGCAGCCCCAGTCCCTCGCCCGATCTCGTTTTAGCCCTTCCTACTCAAAAAGGATTTTATAACCTGTCCAAGTCTGTGTTAAATTAACTTCTTTGTCAATACTTTGCTCACCCCCACCCAACAGTTCTTGCAGCTATTTCAACTGAGACTTGTAGTGGAGAATATCTTTAGGGTTTCAAGATATAGATGTAGTTCTGTTGATATTTAACTACCCGGCGTGCTGAAAGAGCCAAGGTGCTGATATATGCAAAGTAACAACAGTGCATTAAAAGGTGATGCAAATGATCAACGGCCTAACAGCCTATATGCAAATCATTTCCCTAGTTCAAAGTGCTCCCCAAGCCCAGGGGCCAGCAGTTCAAGGCTTGTATGGCAGCTCCCGCTACCAGCTCAAGCAGGTTTCTGCGATACTTCGCACCAAAGCAGTTTGTATTTCCATGTACGATAAGAACTTCAGATCAGGCCAGGTTCAATTCCTGCATCTCAAAGAAACACGTGGGATCTAACCCACTTCCGCACACTGCTCAAAGGAAGCAGAAGCCACGTTTGAGCCCGAAGTACAGGGCTCCGAATCAGGTGTGGTGAGAAACGATTCCCAGCTCCACCACAAGCTTCTTATGTGACTAGCGACAAGACGTTCAGGGACAATTTTCAAGTGTTATGAGAACCCAGCAACTCCCACTGAATTGACTTAAAGTGGAAGATCTCGGGCCTTCTAAACATACCAAGGCCTTCGAACCTTTCTAAGCTTCGTGGTACATCAAGCACTGCAGCAATTGCTCTCGTGGAGCCATACATGAACTAGCTCATGTCCTGCCATGACCAGTGCAGAGTGGGAGCAGGAAGCTTAATGAAGGCAGTCTTGTGCCTAGCTTCACAGGTGGGTTTTGCAGCCCACAGCAATCCAAGTGCTCCCACAGCTGCACTGCTAGCCATGCCCAAACTGGCCAGTTTAAAGCAGGCTTAGGTAGGTCTAGACAAGCTGCAATGAACATATTGGAGCTAGACACTCGGTTTCCATGCCTGTGTGTGCTCATATGGTTAGCAGGGTTTGGAGAAACTGGATTCATTATTATAGAAATAGCCTCTTCCACTGGAGAACTGATCATATGCAAATTAAGATGAGACCACTGCAAGACGGGAACAAGCGGGTACTGTACAGTTTAGCTGGTTTTCCATCTTAATCTATGTTGAGGCTTGTAGAAATGGGGTATAATATATAGTAAGACGTCATTTGCTTCTGGTTTTTAAGATGAACATGTACAACTTAATTCCAAATTACTCAAATGCTTCAGGGATTGGATCCCTATAAGTACCAGGATAGTGAGAACAGAGACATACCGTTCAGCTTCTCTAACAACCAAGTGATTTTTATGCTTTTAGCATGCCAGCCTAACAGAGGCAAGGGAGAAAGCCCTGCAAGTCCCCTCTAAGCCAGCAGTTGTCAGTTCAAAGCTCATTAGAAAGCAGCATGGCACGTCTGCCATAGATCAGGTTTGATGGAAGAGCCCACAAAGGTTGTGTGCAACACAACATCAGCTGCTGTGGAATATGAAGTGATCTCTCCAAAGCCCTAGGTGCAAAAATCTGAAAAAATGTTTAAGAATTTATGAAGAGCAGCTGTTTTGTAGTTGCACCAAGTGTGGCGTTATGCAATGAAGCGAGTGGGTCTGAGAGCAGCTTTGCAGTTACAACTTTGTTACCAAGAATGAAGGAAGAGGCTTTTTAGCCTCCTCTCTTCCCACTCTTACCTTCCTAACTCAACTCTAACTACACCAGCAGATTCAGGGTATCCTGCCGAAGTTTTACAGCACCAAACCAGTCATACACTCGAGGATAACCTACTCTCCATTACGACAATAGATTATACAGTTTGAAAGAGACTCCTGATATTTTCTCCTTCTAAACTCATTCGTCATCATTCCTTGGAAATTCAGACCTGAAACTCCATTTCCTTTCCCTTTCATCCCTCCACAGTGCATTTCACTACAGCAGGTCAAACTTTAGGTCTCCCTACCTTTTCGGATCCTCAAAAGGAGAGCGAATGTGCCCAATTCACTCGCTCACATTCGGTCCCCAAAATACCATTTTCACTTCATCCTTCCTTTGCAGAGGCTCATATCCAAAAGGGCTAAGGACACACCACTTTCAGGCTCTTGCTCGTGTTTAATAACTTAGGGCCACCAGAGCTAACATTTTAAATCACCAAATTAACTATACTAAAAGGAAATTGCATAAAGAAATAACACCCCCACCTCTTAATTCCCCAAAATATGCAGTAGTAGCCCTACTCCACTCCTTTACAAGCATTACACACAACACTCCTGCCAAAGGCATTAGGTTGACAATTAATCAGCCTGGATTGGTGCCCAATTTCTAGGTCTCCCAGTATAGACTCTAGTAGCAAAGTTGCTCTTTAACTAGTAAATAAATAAATAAATAAATGGGGGGGAAAAAATCATGACCTTACTGTCTACAAACCAGTGCACATGCTCCAGAAGAGGCAAGGAAACTTTTTTATCCTGCAGAAGTTGTTGCAGGACAGCTCTCTGCTGAAATTTTTTAAAAGCAACATTGCATGGCGTACGTTAAAGCCAGTGAGGTTTAATAACCCTGTGTCTCCTTAATTCCCTTCCCACCCAAACTGGAAGGTCGTATAATCCTCTTCTTAAACAGTGTATGGGTGTGTGCATGGAAACAGACATATCAGGAGTGAATTCTTCTCACATCCTCTTACCCAAGTGCTTGAGAAAGAAGCAGAAGGAGGATCTTTGAGACAGGAAATCTATCTTGGCCCCTGGACAGATTACTGCCAAACTGAATACAATACTAAAGAATCAAAAAATGAAAAAGTTTTCGTTATTCTTGCACCTGTGACATCTACATTCAATACTGCACCATTTGCACGAGTTTGCATGGGGCTGTGAGAACAGGGAAGCTGACAAAAATAATCAGATTAATCCAACAACTTGTCTTGCCTTTCCTAGAAAGAACCCGATACATTTTTAGAGCAGGAGAAGAAAAAACAAAAACCCTGCAACACCGACACATACGCCCATG